TTCCAATTTTTTTCCTTGTGCCAACTTCTTTAGTTTTACTCTCAGCTTCTTATACATGAAAATTGTTTGTGCAGAAAGTTCATCGGATAAAAGTTTGGTACCTGATTCCTCAGTCCAAAATGAAGGTACTGAGTCAAAGGAAACTACTTTGGCTGAACAGTTCAGGGAGGTCATATTTGGTGAGGAAGCACTAAGGATACCTCCCTCTGAGCCATATTCCTTAAGACGTCTTATTCGTAGAGGTCATCTGAATATTTCGCAACATTACCCCATGCAGCAGGTGCTGTCACTATGCTTGTCAGCGTTCATACATTCACATTTCCTCAATTGAATATTCAATCATCTTGAACCTGCTCAATTTTTGTTTACACTGATAAAAGAACCCAACTATTGAGATAGCTGCATGGTTGTTTAAACAGAAGGATAATTAATCTACCTTCTTAAAATTACTTTATTATATTGCAGGTCCTTGAAGATCTGCATGCTTTATGGGACTGGATTTTGTTAGAGAAATTGCATATCCCTCTCCATGAAAGGACCTTATATTCTGCTATTCTTGTTGTTCCAGAGACATTTGATAATCGTGGTATATAAAAATTGAGTACCATTTTCTAATTGTAGCTAATCTCATCCCTTCTATTCTGTTCTCTGTCTTGTGGTAAAAATTCCAGATTCAGTTTATGCGTGTGTCAATATGGAATATTTGGTAACTTCAAATTTTGTGGGTTGTTACAAGCAGAGATAAAGGAGATCTTATCTATTGTATTGGGAGACTTGCGTTTTAGCTCAGCAGTTGTACACCAGGTGTTTCATCTCATACTTCTTATGTGTAAATATAAATCAAGTTCCAAATTCCAATACCAGCATTAAACCAAATGATGTAGCAGCACAGTTAGCACTTTGTAATTACTTTTGTTATTATCGGCACTTGCCGGGTACTTTGGCAAGTCAGAAACCTTTTAGAGCAACAACCAATGAGTTTATCTTGTATGATTAGGTTTTACTCACATGTCTTTGATGGATATATGGGCTTTGTGCTATAAGTTTGTCACGGTATGATAGAGGCCCTCCATTATGGATCTTTTGTTTTCCTTCATAAGAATGATGTGGATTGAACACAAGTGGCTTCTTGAACTTCTTTGACTCATTTACAATCTGTAAATGTGTATATCTTCTTACATATCTACAACAATTTGTCTGTGCCATATAGTACTCAAATTTATAAACAAACCTCGCTGTAACAGGTATCCTGTCTTGGTAATGTAGTTTTACTTAGTCTTACTGATTATTTCATGAGATTTTCTTTTATTCAGCTCTACCAGTAGAAGCTCTCTAAGTAGAAGATTGTTCTTTGTGGTGAATTATTTGCTTCAAATATGATGATCTCAGGAAGGCCTGGCAGCAGTTTTTGGGAACGGGTTATCAACTGCATGTGTTGTAAATTTGGGTGCTCAAGCATCATCAGTCATCTGTGTTGAGGTAGCTGATTCACATATTAAGTAGACCACTTATTATTTGTGTAGATTCATTCTTTTTCTTCTATTGAAGGGACTACACTATTCACAAATTGGACATTTGATATTTGTTTTAAGCTTGGTTCTATTATGTGTAGCATAACTGGGAAATGACTAATTTGAGAGAGCTGCGGTCTTACACTATTGGGAACTCTTATTGTCTGCAGGATGGAGTGGCTCTACCTAATACAGAGAAGACTTTACCCTTTGGTGGAGAGGTTTGAATTCTCATCATTCTTTCTGTCCCTCTGTTTTCTCCATTCAGAAGTTGAATCTTCATTATTGAATAGTTGTCGATGTTGGTCAAACTGCCTATGCCCATTATCTTATAGGGTTCATCTAAAACTTTTCTCCCTCAGATTAAAATAGAAGATATCATTTGTTTCTTTCGTTGGTGATTTCATCATTTTTTATGAACTTTTCCAGGATATATCAAGATGCCTTCTTTGGACCCAGAGGCATCATCAGACATGGCCACAAATTCGTACCGACATTTTGACAAAGCCTATAGATCTATTGACGCTGAACAGGCTAAAGGAGTCCTATTGTGAAATCAAGGTGAACCATTTGGCTCCTGTATCTGGTATTCTTAGGTTTCTTAGCTGTGGAAATACTCTTATTGTACTTTCTCAATGCGCTGTTTCACAGGAGGGTGAACTTGATGCTGTTGCTGTAGTTCATTCTTATGAGGACGCCATGCCTGCAGGATCTCATAAGACAAGGCTAACTGCTCTGAATGTATGTTTTAACTTGGACATCGTTTTCTTCTCTCCAAAGGATTTACGACTGATAGCTTGTTTTAAACAGGTTCCTCCTATGAGTTTGTTCTACCCAACACTTTTGATTCCTGATCTATATCCTCCTCCACCCCGTTCTTGGTTAGTAATACTTGTTCAGTATTGCTCCCTTCTCTGGAAGTAGTTTTGAATCGTTTCCTTTAGGGTTATTTTGATGGTGTGCTTCACCAGGTTTCATGACTATGAAGATATGCTGGAAGAAACATGGCATATAGAATTCTCAAGAAGATCTGACATGCCAGATGGTTTTTATCCTAGCGGTAATGCTGGTTTACAAATGTGGGATAACTATCCATTTTTTCCAATGAAACCTAAGAAAGAAGAGAAGCTTGGCCTAGCGGAAGCCATAACCAGTAGCATTCTTTCAACTGGTAGGTTTTTGCATAGTGCTAATTCAGCATATTCTAATAACCTATAACACCCCATCCCAACCTAACTATTTAAATTTTTATTTTTTCATATGACAGGTCGCATAGACTTGCAAAGAAAATTGTTTTGTAGCATACAATTGGTGAGACTCTTAAGAAGTGTAGACCACATGATACGCTTTCATATTTTAAGAATCAAACTTTTAACTTGGTTTTGTGCTTCAGATTGGTGGTGTGGCTTTAACAGGTGGGCTCATTCCTGCTGTGGAGGAAAGGTCGGTTTCCCTTTTTTCCCCCTTTCTCGTCATCCTACTTTGGGCATGTAGCAGTTAATATATGCAGTGATGGGCTGATGGCATGTTCGATAAAAAATAATAATCAGATTTATTTGGTTTATTTCAAGCCTAAATCATAAAGTATAAGGCTTGAAGAGTACTTGGGCTAGGTCAAATACCCTAGTTCTATATTGGCATTGTTGACTAAGAACGCATTAAGTGCATCGACTGTCAAGTGGTAATAATACCACTAGAATACGCTGTGTTTTATATTTCGTTGCATACTATCTTCATGGAAACTTTAGTTAAAGAATCTTTTGTCTGTTTTTCGTTTAAATCATCTCGAAAGTTTTTAGAATAATTTAAATAGTTTTTCGAATGTGCTGTGGGACTTGATCCTTATTAGTTGTGTCCCGTATGCTTGTAATTTGTACCTTGGTTAGCAGATCCCTTACAAGATGATACTTCTAGTCGCCAGAATATAATCATTTTTCTTAGTAATATTTAAAATGCCATGTAATAATTTTATCATGATTTCTTCTTTCTATATATTTGCAGAGTCTTACATACCATTCCTTCAAATGAAGCAATTCATACTGTTGAGGTAAGTCCCACCAAATTTTAATCTTCACTAAAAAGGTGCTATGTCCGTCTTCTGCACCGGATTGTTGATATGTTTAGAATCCGTGTATATTTCCTATCTTGATATTCAGATTGTTGATATGGTTCGGTGATGCTTACTTATTTTGTCTATTTCTTCATTCAACTAAGGATATGATGATTTTGGTCTGCTTGAATCTCACCTGTGATAGGTTTTGGAATCAAGAACGAACCCGACTTTCGTGGCTTGGAAAGGCGGAGCAGTAAGTCATCTCCCATCCATTTTCTTCTTCCACATTTGGGTTTTTTTTGTTTTCGATACATAAATGCATTTGCTCATTGACTTTGCTTAAGCAATATCCTCATAAGGGTGATATTTTTAAGCTTTTACATGGATTAGTACCAGGCGTGAAGCTAAAAGCTGGTTTTCTGCTTTTATTAAATGAGATTGAGTGGTTAGGTCACACTCAAGTATATATCATTGTTGATGAATGAGATGATGAGATTACTTGAAATTTTTTATTCTACCGTGATTATTACAGATCCTTGGAGTCCTAGATTTTGGTCGGGATGCTTGGGTGCATCGAGACGACTGGATCCGCAACGGGATTCACATTGGGAGTGGCAGGAAATACAAGGATTCTTATTTTCTTCAAGCACAAGCAATGTGTTACATAAATTCATAAAAGATGGTAGATTAGGAGTGAACTCTAAAAGCAATGGTCATCTACATGCTTTCTATTGCTCGATGGCGGATGGTGGCGAGTTCGTTTTTGTTTTAAGAACTCGTATATCCATCATAGTTTGCAGTCAAGAACCAAATCTTTATCACAATTGATGCAAACTAGAATGCAATGCATCATCAAATTTGTATAGCATGTATCTTACTATTTTCCATTGTCAATGGACATGACTTTTCGTCGGATTATTTTTGTCGGACCATTATTCTCTTCCTAAAATACATGTTTAATAGGATGTGCAGCATCATCGGCTCATTGCTTACAAACTCCGGGACCTCTCTTTTCCTTTCCGATATGGGATTAATATCCCCCGTCTCTCCAATATGTGACATTCTCCCCTACTCAACGGCGTGACGTTTTTGTCACATGCCATCGTTACACTTGTTCACCCTATCTCCCTTACCCACCTGGACGCTCAACTTGAAATCAAGTAGCGATTGCCCTGAATATTACTTGTCATGAGGCCTTTATTCTCTTTTCAAAAGATACATTGGAAAAGATGTACATTACTATTGTTTATAAACTTCAAAACATCTTTTTTCCCTTTCCGATATGAGATTAATGTCTCTCTTCTTTTCAAAATGTGATATAAGACTCTTAATGAGATGGTTATATATATCCTAAAAAGCTCCCACATGGAGTGGAGAGCTAAAGAGTAGTAAGGGCTTTGCTTATATAATAGCTTGGCAAACAACATTGAAAAAATTAAAAGGGTCGGTTGGCTAAATATGCCACGCCCACCCTCGTTTGGTGGGTGCCGTATGGCTATCAAGACATATGGCCGACACAATTTGTGGAATCCTACAGGGTTGGCTCGCTCGGCCGACCCTCCATTTCCAGTCCAATATTGATGCCATGTAATTAAGAAAGCGACTAAAATATAAATATTGTTATTAGGAGGGGGCGAGGGGCTTCTTCGTAGTATAGTCCATTGGAAATTGGATATTAAGACGATATTTGGAAGAGTAAACTATGCATATCTAAATTTTAATTTTTTTTCAAAACTATACTAGTTTTAATTTTATTTTAGTACCTATCATTAAAAGTTAACTCGTTTATTACTTAAACTATCGGTTTTGATCCGTTTTATTTTTAAAAACTTAACATTAAATTTTGAATGAGGTGTTAGAATAAAATAAAAATTAAAGTTTTTTAAAGTTTTTAATGACGGATATTAAAAACGAAACAAAAACTAAAGTTTAAATATGATTTTGAAAAACTTAAAAGTTTAAATACTAAATCGGATAAAAACTAATAATTTAATTAAAATTTTGGGTTATTATTATCAATTGGAAATTAATTATTCTCTCCTTTTCTATATTATTAGCATGCTTTTCACGGCCCACAATTTAAAAAATAAAATAAATTATTAAATTCTTTGGTTAACTATTCAAAATCAGCATTCAATAGTATCTTTGACTATATTAAAGTCCTAACATCAAATTAATTTTCTGAATACAAAAAAGAAAAAGTAATAAATCAATAAAGTTATTGAAGATCTCGTAAAAGATACTACTCTGAAATGACGGTCCTACCCTTGAGTGACCACTGAGAAAATTCCACCTAAATTTGATAGTAAACATTTAAATTAATTTAGTTTTAATTGTATAAGAGTTTATAATTCTACCAAATATTATAAATTAATAAATGAAATGTAACGTGTCAGTCAGACAAGGCTTGCAATTGACCACGTAACTAATGTCCTAACCGTCAGATTGACCCCAAATATTGTACCGTTTATACGCATGTATAAAAAGTCTAATTTGAATTTCATCCCTCTACTTTATCTAAATCTAAGAAGTTAGTCTTTTTATTTAAATTTATTAGAATTTAGTCATTATACTTTATGAAGAATGATAAATTTAAGAGTATTTATACACACAAGCTGTGTAGAACAATATTGCATATTTGAACTCTAAATTCTAAATCTTAAATTATAAATATAAGAGCAAATTATAAACCTTAAAACTAAAATAATGATTCTCAAACCTTAAATAAGACACGTGACGAGTATTAAAATAGACATGCTCGCATAAATTTTAGTTTATGCAATAGCTCCCAAGACCTTTGCATTACCTGGATTAAGATGAATCGATCAATAGATCAAATATCAGGAGATTATTCTAAAAAAAGTAAAAGGATTAAACTTTTGTTTTTTACAAAGTAGAGGGGTGAAATTCAAAATAAAAGCATTATGAAATTATTTGGAGCGAACGTTTCGATGAAGCATTATTGCACTATGTGGTCCACATAGGCGTTGGGTGGTCCAAATCCACCCCCAACCCCACCCCCGTGGTATTTAATTGGGGGCTGTGGGGTCGGCTCTACCATCCACGTCATCTTTTTGTTGTTGTTTGGAGGTGGCTTGGCCGGCTGGCTTCGGCTGAGTCCAGCTGGGTAATACCTCATATCTGAATTTGGTAATTTTTGCAATTTAATCCCTTAAGTTTTGATTTATATTAGATTCTGAACCTGATAACTTTTTCATTTCTAATCCTTTTATTGATATGGAACAATGTCATCAAAAGGATTACAGATATAGGGAAAAAATCGAAGTTTATTAACTAATGTATATTAAAAAAGTTCAAAGACTAAATTTAAAAAATTGTTTAGTTCAAGTTTATATATATTGTTATGAGTTTTTTTTTTGGATTTATTCGACTAATTTTGATATGTAGATGGCATATGATAGTGTTTTAATGCATCACATGAAAATAATATTTTATTCTGAAATAATTATTAAGGCGTAACTATCAATTGAATAAAGAATTTCATTGATTTATTTATTTATTTATTTTAAAGGTTAGATTAAATAAAATGTTAAGAATTTAATTATTTAAAAAAAGCTCAAATATAAAATAGGTGCCCAAACTATAGCGCTTTTTTATGAATATGTGCCTATTTTTTAAATGATCCCGGTGTCTATTACAAAAGTTATCACTTTAGGTGTCTGAGCGGTCGACAACGTTAATTTCCTCCTTTAAGTGATATTCATCACAAACATTACCACTTTAGGTGCCTAACCCATTGTCGCCTCCCTTTACGACCACAACCAACGACCGTCGACGTAGTCCCTGCCATCCTCCTAGTCATACGCCGATGTAGTTTTGTCGATCGAACGTCGGTATCGTATGGGATCGTGATTTTCATCCCAGGGTTCTCGAGGTATAAAACGTCAATTTGTCGTCGATCGACAGTCAATCGATCATGATTTCTTAGAGGTTTTCGTCATCGGAGGGAGGTGAGGTCGAGTGGAGCTTCGTCGACGGCAAAAGGTGACTATTGATGTGGTTTTAGGGATTGAAATAAAGGTGTTTAAAGTTTCGGGGTTATTTTAAAATTTCTATTTTTTTAAATATAAATTTTAATTTTTGAATTTAAAATAAAAATTTTAAAATTATCAGATTGTGACACGTCACTTAACGAAGAAAATTAACGTCGTTGACGGTCCAAACACAAAAAATGGTAACGTTTGTAACATTATATACCAAGATCATTCAAAAAACAATTTAGACACTTATAATAAAAAAACACTATAGTTTGAGCACCTATTTTATAATAAAGCCTTAACAAAACCATGGTGCTAATATATGGAATATCTAGGAGGGGAAAACAATCAAAGTCAAAGAAAAAAGAAGCGCCAAATCCAAGCCATATGTAAAGGGTAAACTTCCAGCTAAGCTTATCCTTTTCACGTGCGTTCCACTTGCTCCCTCCTTCCTATAAAAACCCCCAAAAGCAAAGCACCAATCCTAAACTCTCACAATTTATCTGTCTAATCAATCAAAGAAAAAAATCATTTACTCTCGCCTGAAATCCTAGAATCCCATCCATGTCAACTTCGGCGAAGAAAACCACCGCCGTCAACAGTGGAGATAGGCGGCAGCCCAGTCGGCTTCAACGTCGCGCTCCGGCTTCCTTACAGATCAGTCCGGTTTCGAGCTGGAACATTGCGATCCCTCTCTTATCTCCGCTCGCTTCTTCTCCTCCGTCTATTGATCGGATGGAAGAGTCACCGCGTCAGGAACAGCCGCCGCGACAGAGCCAGAAAACGGAGCCCGAGAAGCTTGTGTTCAAGATGTGGCAGCATCCGGCGGCGCCGTTCTGTTACGAGCCGGCACAGTTGGTGCCGTCTTTCGTGCCGGTCTAGTTGTACATACGGAGACGAAAAGAAAATTGTAGTTAGATCCAACGGCGTGTGTTGAGCGCGTTTTCGTTCAACGGACAACACGTCACCATTTTTGTACAATCTGTTCATATTAGTATACTCTCTTTTAAGCTCGAAAGCATTGATTCAACACAGTTTTGTACTTTCCATTAATTTCGTTTACTTTACTGTTTGGGAATCGAGAAAACGATGGAAAGTGAGGTAACAAACGAAATCGATATTTCAATTCAAAGGGTAAAATGGGGATGGATTAGTTGCCGACTTGATTTGTTTTTGTGGTTTTATTATTACTATGACCGGATCTGGTTTGAATGGTCAAGAAAAATATGGGCAGCATTTACAAATTACTAATCAAAAGCAGTTGGCAAAGTAATGTTCTACAAATTATATAGAAATCATTACCTTTTAGATTTTAATTAGTGTTATTTGCCTTCAAAAAAAGCTTATTTTTCTTTGTCGTATCAAGTCTTGGCCAATATTTCTAATCATCGACGTTAATCTTACAATAATTTTTAAGGTCAAATTACGCATTTAGTATCTAAAATCAGTGTTGGTCTGTTTTAACACTTAAATTTTTAATTTTTTTTAAATTCATGTCTAACATTTGATTTTCGTTTCATTTTAGTATCTCATTGTCAAAAGCTTAACGTGTTTAATACCTAAACTATTAGTTTTGGTCTGTTCTAGTACCTAAATTTTCATTTTTTTTCAAAACTTGCTTTAAATTTTGAAATGGGTATTAAAACGAAATTAAAATTAAATTTTAGGTATGATTTTGAAAAAATTAAAAATTTAAGTACTAAAATAGACCAAAACTTATAATTTATATACTAAACAAATTATTTACCCTAATTTTAATCAATTATCACCGTCTTCAGTCTTCCTTTTTAAACTTATGTTCATCTATTGTCCAAGGATTTAATAGAAATTTGACAGATAATTTAATTATGAATCATCCTTATTTTATATATCTATTTAAAAATTGGGTAAAGTACATAAGTGGTCCCGACTATACGACATACTTTATTGAGTCTTTCAACTAATAAAAGTTACAATAATCCTTGACTATAGGATGCTACTTTATTGTGTCCTTCAATTATTACAAAATGATCACCTGACTATTCATTATGTTTCAAGCTTATCATTATCCTTTAAAAATTTTAACGACAATCTGAGCTAGATGTTAATATATTGTTTGGAATATGATAGTCGTTTAAGTTTCTGGGATCAAATTTTATTGTATCTCAGACAATAAATAACATTCAACTCAGATTTTTGTCATTTTTAATGGAAAATGACGAATCTGAAACATAATAAATAATCAGGTGATTATTTTGTAATTTTTAATAGCTAAGGACTTAACAAAGCAACATCATATAGTCATAGGACCATTTTGTAACTTTTGATAGTCAGGGGACTCAACAAAACATCACTATATAATCGAGAAACTATTTGTATACTTTACCCTTAAAAATTTATGATTTATTTTATAGATTTAGAATTTTATCTTTATTTTTTTCAGAATAATTAAGATTTTATCTAATTTCATATAAGTTTTTTTGTCCCATACAAATTTTGGTCTTATTTTTTTATTGAATGATAATATAGTAACTAAATTAAAGAAAAAATAAAGTAACCAAAATAATAATATATTAAAAGTTGAATGATGAAAATCATAGTTTCTCCTTGAAGTTTATGCTAGCCCCACAAAGGCAACACACAGCACATGCCTTTTGGGAGCATTTGGGGAAATCCAGCTTGTAGCATTAATTTTGTCAGAATCATAATCAAGTCCCTCTCACAAATCACATCAAAATGGACCAAATTTCATTGCTTTGATTTTAAACTTTCGGTACCTAAAATTAATGGATAATTACATTTTTATCACATTGTTCTTGAGATTTCCTTTGAAATACTGCAAAAAAAAAATCATCCAAATTAATGCAGTAAGTATACAATAACTACCAGGGTTTAATCCACCACTCTCATTTTGTTTCAACCTAGGTTGATGCAGTTGTTGCTTCTTTAAATAAGATAACAGCATAGTCAGGGTCACAACGAACCGGAAAACATCGATGTCGTCCGAGGGTACTCTATCGTATCCAGATATGCATCGGATATGGGATGTCGGAAGAACCAACGTTTCGAGTTTCCTATGTGCAGCTGATTTCAAAATTGTTCCATTTTGATCAGCCGGGAAGCAGTGAAGCTGTGTGGATTGTCCATGCAGGGGAATCGATGCAGTCGTCCGTGAAGGTGCCTGAAAACATGACTCGAACGATGCGAAGCAAATTGACTAGGGCAGCAATGACTTCAACAACAGTGTATATAACATTGAATTGCAGGGCATACCAGCTGAGGGTCCTTTTCTTTACTGAAACTCCCACATTCGTCCACCCTTTCGTACCGCGGACAATTAAGATCGTCAACACGGGTTGCAACACGTGCAGTCGGCAACTTTCTGGCGAGACGAACTGGTTTAACCTTTCTATTCGTCATTTTCGACTTCCATAGCTGGTATAAGAGATTGAAACATCACACACCAGATATGATAATGATTGGATATACACTTAAATCCGGCAAATAAATTAGGCTTTACCTATTGGAATCAAACATGAACCGAATCATCACCTTAATGTTCAACGAAAGCTTCACGAGTTTTGTTCGCCACTCCCTCCATTACATTCTGGTACAATGTTCTCTCTTTACTGTAATGTTGCTTCTTTTTCTTGTGAAACAAGAAACAATTCAATATAAGGCACGTGATAGGCCGAGCAGGGGCGGACCCAGGGGATTGCCAGGGGTAGCACGGACAACCCTCAAATTGTGAGGAACATTGATTAAATGTTATTATTTTAGTATTTTTATATATATATTTTGTTATTTTTAGGTAGAATCCCTATATTTCAGTTAAATTCTTATAGAAAAAAAATTTATACAACAAAATTGTCTACGTAGTGTTAATTTTTTTCTATTTTTTTTAATTAATACAAGTGTCACCTTTAATATTGTGCAACCCCTAAAAAATTTATAATAATTTTTTTGTGTAACCCTTGAATTTTTGTCCTGGGTCCGCCCCTGAGGCCGAGTCGTGTCCGACACGAATAACATTGATTTTCCTCTGTTTTTCATCAATATTGATGTGTTCGACACGAGTATCAAATACGAATACTTAAAAAAAACGAAGATCGGAACAAGGAATGAGGGTACATATACCAACCATTGGAGTATATTGCAGCTTAGGTTTTGGCCTTCTTCATTACCTAAGAAAGAAATGCATGCATGCATATAATCACTTTACAACCGTGGCGAACACAATGCAATAGGAATCATATTTGAGACCGCAATTCGAATCCCCGGCTACAACCTACCAGAATTTGCTCGATCTGATTCTTTCTACCATGGCCGACGCTCCAGTGCGCTGCAGTGTTGCCGGGATTTGGATATTTAGCCGATTCATGAACTGTTCCAAGTCCATCATGGAACAATTGAGCTCCGATTGATTACTGAAAAGGGTTTACAATTTGATAGACTTTTGGTTTTTATATGAACCCAAATTCTCCAATCGCTTCGGCTTCGTTAAGGACGATCCACTCAGATATTGACACATGCACGTATCGAATCGTGTTCGATCGGGCTCTCGAATAAAAATCAACTAAAAATAATAATCTTACATAGATGAGAGGGACACCCAATGCACTATTTTCTTTTTTGCATGTAAATGTTTAGACACATCCTCCATTTATGTTCCTCACACATTTAAAGAGAGTCCAAATCCAAACACAAACTTACAGGTGAGAAGCAGTGGAGAGTACGTAACGTATCTTCTCCACTACATTTTGTTTTCTTCCCACGTTCAATGGATACGTTGAAAAAGAAGGACCCCCCAAAAGTATAAAGATTGAGGGACCAAAGTTGTGATTATACCATTTAGTAAGTGGGCCAATTTTTTCAACTTAATGTTCCTATTCGGACCCCGGCAACAATTCCCAACAGGGTACAGATTGAAAATAAACACCGGCAGCAGCCTGTACTTTTCTTTCTTTCTTTCAAAAAGCAACATTGATCGAACTTTTATATTTAATATAATATTTTAGTGATTATTTTATAACACATTTTATAACTAAGTGACCTGTGATGTATTTTACCCAAAAAGACAAATTAAGCCACAACTAAACATGATTATATTAGTGGGAGAAACATGGGAAGCCTTTCTTAATTGACATGTATTGGTTTAGCTTGGCTAACCCATGTGGATAGTCTTGGTTGCCCTAAGTATACAAAAACAACTCCCACTATTGGTTAACTTTTGACAATTGAGTCCTTGTTTATATGATAAATTTTTTAAATAATAATAAGACAATATTTATTCAAAGATTAAACTTGAGACTGATATATGATATCGATTGAATAATTGATAAAAAATTTTACCACTCTATTCAAGATTCAATATACCATTACACAATGATCTTAATCTTCAGGGCTGTCTCTAAGGGGGGAGCACCATGAACAACCGCTCAGGACCCCCAATTTTTTATATTCATAATTAGGGCCGTTAATTTTTATATTTAAAATTAAGGCCCTAATTTTTATTATTTTATGAAATTTTAGTTTTTGACCCTCTTTTTCCATTTATCTTATTAATTCATCTAATTTTGAATTAAATTTAACCAATTTTTTATATTTATAAATAGTGCCGCTACTTTTTATAAATTCATAAAATATTTAGTTTTTACCCTTTTTTTCAATTTCTCTTATTTTTCATTCAATTTTGAATTAAATTTAATCGTTTTTTTTTTCAAATCTTACTCTTCAATTTATTAAATATTCTTTAATTTTTAGTGTTCTCCATTCTCAATCTAACAACAGAATAATCTACAACTCTTTTTTTATTGATTATTCAAGCAATGTATCATACATGCGTTCAATTTTTTATATATTTATTCTCTTTTAGTTGTATTTAAGGTGTTTTCTTAATAAAATAATAAACAAATATTTTCATAAAATTTAATCATTTTCTATGATTTATTCATATAATATTAAATTAATTATTCAAAGTAATGAAATATGCTTTCATTTTATAAAGGCTTATTTTTTTAGTTTTCGCTCGAGACCCTGAAAATGTCTGGGACTACTATGTTAATCTTTA